TTGCAATCCATTGCCGGACACGAAAAAAGACAAAAAGGAAAAAAAAAAAAACAAAAAAACAAATTTGTGAAGTACTAGGTTAAAGTGTTCTTTACTGCAGGACTTCTCGATGCCTTCAGTAGATTAAAGAGCTTTCACTGTGACTCAGAGTGAGTATTCACCTTCAGGTTTCTCAAACACCTTATGAACACACTTTGGGAAATGCAGTTTATTTCAGTTTTCTGATTTTACAGATGAGGAAACCAAGGCTCAGAAATGATGGGACTGCCCAGGTCCAACAACTATTTAGTATGAAACACCACAGTGCAGTAGAAAGAGTATGGGTTCTAGTGTCAGAAGACTGGCATTCAAGTCCTGATTATCACTTTGTAACTGTCTCACCTGGGAGGAAGTGGCCTTAGTTTACTCAGATATAAAGTGAGGATAATAGTAACCTCTCTCCTAGGTAAGAGATTATATGAAAAAAACAGAAGTGAAACTTTTTTATATGATGAAAGATTCAAAACAGCTCTGCCTTGTGTTAGAGAATAAGTGAAAGTGGACTCAAATTTCCAGGTTTCCTATAAAATAGTTATTAATACCTGCCTTTTGGATATGACTCTTAAATGAGGGCATCAAAGTAAAATCACTTTTTGTAAAGTAAGAATTCAGTGCAGATATTGTCTTCTGTAGAGCAAATACAAAAAGGAGTGGATTCTCATTTCAGGAGAACAACAGTAGGAGCAAAGGCAGGCGTGAGTTACTCCATCAACCTTCCCTCTGGTGCTGCCTGGCTACACTTCTTGGATTGTGGCTTCCTTACACCAGTGACTGAAATGCTCTTGCCCTGATTTTCTTTTTATAGTGGCCAGGGCAGTGATGAAGGTGAGGTGCTACTGTATTACTGCTACCGTGACCTGGAGGATCCCCATTGGATCTGTGCCTGGCAGACAGCTCTGTGTCAGCACTTGCACCTCACGGGCAAGGTAACACCTTCTCCCACACCCCCTCCTTCACTGGGCCCTTGTCTCTTTTAACCTTGGATTGTAGAGGCTGTGCTGACTATGAAAAGAATTCATTGTTGGGTTCTTAGATATTAGGGGAATCCTGCTGAGCATTTAAGTAGAATATTAAACAGCTATTAACATGGTGTTTTATAAGAATATTTAGTGGCATAAACCAGGGGTCAGCAAATTTTTTCTTAAAGAGCCAAATAGTAAATATTTTTGGCTTTGTGCACAGAAATACTATATACTGTTATAGCATGAAAGCAACCATAGACAATATATAAAAGAATGGGTATGGCTGTGTTCCAATAAAACTATATGCAAAAGCAGGGATAATTTGCTGACTCCTGGTATAGGGAAATATTCGTGATATATTAAGTGGAAAAACATTTTATAGAACTTAACATATAGATGTGATTCCAAGTTGCTTCTTCATTTTCCTAGAACATGCCAGGGTCATTTACCATCTCAGATTACTGACATGTGCTGTTTCCTTTCCCTCTAGAATGCTCTCCCAGTATGTCTTCACATGGTGCATGCCTCACTTCAGATATCTGCTCAAATTTTGTTTCCTCAGAACTCTAATCTGAAGTTGTCCACTCTCCAGCCTCATCACATTCTATCCCTTTCCGCTTTTCAAAGAATTTATTACTGTCTGAAAGTATAATGCTTGTTTATTTCTTTATAATATATCTCCCTTATGGAATATAAACTGAGGACAGGACGGGATCTTTGCCTTATTTAATGATATATTCTCAGCGCTAGAACAGGGCTTAGCATATAGCAGACTGTCAGTAAATATTTGGAGAATGTTGAATAAAGGAATGAACGCATGTTCATAACAAAACTGTAAGTTTATGTATGAAGATGGAAGCTAGTAAGTACCAAAATAAAAAATGGTTTTTATTTTCTTGTTATTATTTTTCTAAAATGTCCTCTGTGATTACATACATAGACATATATGTATA